TGTCTGTGTTCAGTTTATGCTCATCAGAAGCTATGGAGGCGGAACTGGGCATCGGGACACCTCCCACGGTTGCCATCGAAAGTGGCCGCACTGCATTTCCTCTTTCTATCCCCCACAGCATCATGGGATTCTCAAGGTGCGCTTTCACACACACTGAATAACACACTTTCAGTCCACTTTGCTACTGGATTTTACTGTGTGAAATGGCCAAATCCATTAGCAAACAGTTGCTGAAGTGGACTGAAATGGCATCATTTAGCATGTGTGAAAGCGCCCATAGAGTCACAAGATGCCCGGCTCCCTTCATCAGCTGCCATTTGCAGAGGAGGGCAAACTCATAACACAATAACACTGCATCACCTGTTGAGCACATCCCAGATGTTCCTGGGGAACAGAAGAGGAGACACAACAGACACACAGACCTGAACGCCTGTTCATAACCTCCTATGCAAATACAGGATCCATTCATAGGATCTGAAGAAGAGAAGGTTTTATATGCCACTTATCTCTACTGTAAGGAGTCTCCAAAGTGGCTTACAATCACCTTCCCCTCCTCTCCTCACAACTTGTAGGTAGGTGGGGCTGAGAGAGTTCTGAGAGAACTGTGACTGGCCCAAGCCACCCAGTCAGGCTTCATGTGGAGGATTGGGGAGTTGAACCTGGTCCTCCATATCAGAGTCTGCTGCTCTTAACCACTACACCAATGTTGTTTCTCAGTGAGCTCTAGTCCACCAAAACTTACGCTAGAATATCTGGTTAGAATAAAATCTACAAACTGAAAGATACAAGAAGCATCTGGCAAGATGTCATTGAAAGATGTCCACGGACCAAGAAAAGCCAGGAGGTTTGTTTGAGAACTGAACTGGTTCATGGTTTGTAGCCTCGCAAACCCTGCTGAAAGGGACCACAGTCCCTTTCAAGGGGGTTTGCAGAAGGCCCAAAAAATAGCTGAGCAGTGAGGAACAGATTGCTCCCTGCCGTTCAGTTGTTTTGGGCTGTCTTGTCCCTTTAAACTTTAAAGGGAACAGCAGAAGACAGCCTGAAAAACAGCTGCACAGCAGGAGACACCCCTGCCGTGCAGCTGTTTTAAGGGACTACAAAAGACAGCCCGAAACAGCTGGGCAGGGGGGAGTGCCTCCCCACCGCTCAGCTATTTTTTGATTTGTCTTCTGCAGTCCCTTTAAAGCTTAAAGGAACTGCACACAACAGCCTGAAACAGCTGAGCAGCAGAGAGCACCTCCTGGCTGCTCTGCTAGTTTCATGGCTTTCGTGGGGAACAGAAAGCAGGGAGTCCCTTTAACCCCCTGCTTTCTGCTCCATCCACAAACGGCTTTCTGCTCCATCCACAAACTTGCTTTAAAAAATCATGGAAGTTCATGGCAGTAGACCATTTATGAACTTCTGTTCATGAACCACAAACAGGGCAAAATTCGTGACGAATTTTGCTTCATGGTTCGGTTGGTGCCCATCCATAATGTCCACCTGTGTAAGACCAGGATCAATGTTCCCTCTAATCTGTGGAGTCTTGTGAGCAAAAATTCCACTTTGTGAGCTACTGGCATTAAAGTTGTGAGCCAGTGATTTGGCTACTGCATAAATTAGTTTGCTCTGGAACCCTCCTTCCTGAGCTGAGACAAAAATGTGTGAGCCAGAGGCTAAAAAAATGTGAGCTAGCTCACACCAACTCAGCTTAGAGGGAACACTGACCAGGATACAAATGAAATTCTACTTAAGTAGCATTTCAGTACTCCTATATTTGCCTGAACAATAGGAAAATTATAGTACTTAACTTTGAAGAAATCACCCTCTTCTTATAACTGAAGATAGTATAAAGTTAGCCAATGCCCTGACCTGGATGGCACAGGCTAGCCCGATCTCATCAGAGCTCAGACGCCAAGTAGGGCTGGCCCTGGTCAGTATTTGGACAGGAGGCCACCCAGGAAGCCCAGGGTCATGGCACAGAGGTAGGCCACGGCAAACCACCTCTGAACGTCTCTTACCTTGAACACCTTGCGGGGGTCGCCATAAGTCAGCTGTGACTTGATGTCACTTTCCACTTCCACAAGTTAACTAACAAGCCCACAGGAGCACCCCATAGCTCTGCAGACACGTACACAGGAAAGGATGATTCCTTGATGCACGCAGTCTGACCCTGACCTCCCCATGAATTCTATACTGTTTGTCACTTGGTGTCAGCAAGCTGCCATGGTGTTCTGTGTTGGTTGTATCTCTGTACAGTTGCTAACCCCCCCCCCATGCCTGTGCGCTAGTATTTTACTCTGCTGTAATGCCTAAGCCAAACAACTGGAGGATGTATTGGGGGAGTATGCTTGACTGCCAGCTTGTTGCTTTTAGAGCCTGGGAACTGCACCTGTGTTATGTCTGGAGATAGCCTGGTTCTCAGGGAATGAGCGCGCAACCGTTTCCTTTCACCCGCCAGCGGGAAAGTGACCCATTGGTTCTGTACCTGTTTCAAATCCCTTTATTATGCTTGCCCTAACCGTTTGTAGTCAATTCTAACAAAGAACGTGTTTGAGTGTCTTTCCAACGCTTTGAAATAAATTTTGCTTTTCTTTAAAACGTGGATTTATTCTCGATGCTTGGGGATCCAACATATTGTTAGAACTGACTACAAACGGTTAGGGCAAGCATAATAAAGAGGTTTGAACCAGGTACAGAACCAATGGGTCACTTTCCCGCTGGCGGGTGAAAGGAAACGGTTGCGCGCTCATTCCCTGAGAACCAGGCTATCTCCAGACATAACACAGGTGCAGTTCCCAGGCTCTAAAAGCAACAAGCTGGCAGTCAAGCATACTCCCCCAATACATCCTCCAGTTGTTTGGCTTAGGCATTACAGCAGAGTAAAATACTGGCGCACAGGCATGGGGGTGGGTTAGCAACTGTACAGAGATACAACCAACACAGAACACCATGGCAGCTTGCTGACACTTGGAAACATCTCCATGGGTGGCATTTGGCACTTCCTTACTGCAGGCTTTTCTACCACTCTGAGAGCCATTCTGCGCCACCTGTGACCCAGCAAAGCCAAAGAGGCACCCGAGATCTTCTTTTGCTGCCTGCCTGGACGGCTGCTGAACACGGGGACACGTTGACTCCTCACAAAGGGGGCAGGCAGGCAGGCAGGCGTGAAAGGGCCAACAAACCACCTCCCCGTGGGGTTTTACCTGCTTCAAGACATTTTCTGCAAATATCTCTTGAAGTCTAGATATTTCAACCACCTTTCCTTCAATTTGTCTGCAAAACAAAAAAAAGAAAGCCATGGAACATTAAGCACAATTCCCCCATCCCCTTTTGTAATAAGATGTGCATCGAATATGGTACATTTCTCACGGACTAAAGAACTGCACATCAAAGAAAGCAGTTTAAGGTATTTTAGGTCAACAATGACTGCGGTCAGACGCACGATATAATCCAGGGGGGAAGCGAGGCTGTTTGCCCCGGGGCCAAAATGAAGTGCGTTTGCACGATCATACGCCCGCATGTGCCCTGCGGTTTTCGGCTGCTACTGGACTTTTCGCAGTGGTTTTTTACTACGCTCCTGCGGTGCTACGGAACGGCACGCCGACGACTATGGGATGCTGGGCAGATGTCCCCGTCTGATCGCATCGCTTTGCTCCGCACTTGAATCATGCGTACGCTGCCGCTTACGATTTGTATGATCGTACCCAATAACTGGTTTCTGTAGGGGGAACTCACAACAGCTTATCGTGCCTACATACAACCAGGCCAAAGCAACGTAGCTGGATTTTGCCCAGAAACTGCTACAGCCGCTTTTTAATGGAAGTCTAAGGTTGATCTCATTTATCCTAAAATATGGAATTTTGGAATGATATTCCCCCCCCCAAAAAAATTACTGTATGTTCTTTAATACAGTTGCAAGCCTTTAATATACCCTAAGCATATAACACAAATAGCAACAACACACAGAGGAATTTGGAAGCTGTCAGGAAACCCATCCTGAGTTATTCTGCCAGCATCACAAAGGACCGAGTCCCACCCTGGACTAGCCTTTCTTACCCTCTTGATGGGTGGAATGGAATCACAAACCTTAGAGTTTCCCCCACTACCAACATTTCACTTTTTTAAGGAGCGGGGGTCAGTAATACAGCATCTGATTAAATATCCAGAATATGCTAAGCTCAGTCTCCAGATTCTGAAGCTTAAAGAGTTCCAGGCAAAAGGATTGGTTTTTATGCAAGGAGGCCTTTGGGATCCAACTGACAGTCAGAGAAGAACAGCAGTCTTCAGCTGGTGCCCTGGAATTCATGAGCGGGGCCCCCTCCACTGAAGGAGGGTCACCCCATAGCACCAATATAATGTTTTGTTATTTTATAACCCAAACAAGTAGGGGAAAGAAGACAGGTAAAGGCGGACAATTAAAAATACCAAAGGGTCCCATTGTGCAGACTGTGGCTAAAAAGAGAATAACCGACAGTAGAGGGCTACTTGACTCTCTGCAAAGTATTTCTTAGAGACAGCAGCAGCCACAGGACAACTCAAGTCCCAGGGTGAGAATCTGAGACAGCTCCCCCCCCCCCCCCCCCCCCCCAGGCAACAGCACCTTGAAAGGAAGAGGAGAGCCCTCGGGGCTGCTTTAAGAACTGTAGCCCAGGAGAGGAAAAATCCCTTCCCCCCCCCACGCCCTTTGGGTGACCACTGAAAACCTTTGCTGGGGGGTTATGGAAACTGCTTCTGGGTGGATCATGGCAGCACCCAGCAAGAGAACCACTGGGGCAGCATCAGAACCAAGCCACGGCCAGGAAGGAGCCATGTGTGCCCAACGCTCTTCCTGCCAGCTCTTCAGCAGCCCAACTGTATTTCACCATTGTGTTTTGGGTTGTTTTAAAAGCATTAAAAGCCACCCAGGGCAGAGACGAAACTGCTCTCTCTCTAACACTTAAGAAAAGAATCAGCCTATTACTGTTTGCAGCGAAAATCACAATTGCATCCACATGGAAGTCCCAAAACACTCTGAATGTAAACCTCTGGTACAAGAAACTATGGAATCTATACTTAATGGGAAACACCACAGATATCTTTAAACAAATCAAACCCAAAGGAGAACACAATGATACTACCTGTATATGGTCTCCGATCTTATCATACCTAACTACCAAAGATTCAATACACAATTTGATATATAGTATGAACTGACAGAAAAAATCCTCACCACAGTATAGATTAGATTGATTAAAGCACCTTTTGTATGTATAACGAAAAATATGTTAATTATATGTATATGCCTATCTTGCATAACCCTGTTGTTAATGAGTTAATGAGAAAATTGAATAAAACTGATTTGGGGGGGGGGGGGAAAGCCATCCAGGGTAAGAACAATTGATAGAAAGGGGAGGGGTATGCAAACCCCTTCCTCCCTCCCTCAATCGCACATACACAAGGTTTTTAAAAAAGGAGGGATGTACCCGTTCCAGCTTTAATCTCATTTGCTGGAAGCAGACAGCGGTCAGGCCAGTGCACATTACCTGAACGGAACTGACTGGAGGGGTCTCCCTGGCATGGACGGCTGCCTCCAGGAGCACAATTATGTAAACGTGTCCAATTAAAAAACAAACAAAACCCAAACAGATCCCACGAGCATTTCCACATAAAGGGAGTATGTGCTCCAAATGACAAAACCCACAAGGGGCAAGGAATTAGAAGAAATCCGTACCTGACTTCATCAAATAGGCTGTTCATTTCACCAACCAGGCGCTGGTTTTCTTGCTCAAACTAGAAGGAGAGAGATGGCTTAAGAAACATGCATCATCCAGCTTCGTTAAAGCAAAAAGGGGAATATGTCCAAGGTACCATTCAATATATATCCATATGGCTTTAAGTCAAACAATGATCTATCAGACTTTTCACCTTATCTTTCAAGGAACTCAAGGCACAGAGAGTTTTCCCAGGTTATCATCAGAACAACCCTTTGAGGTTTTACTTGTTTGTTTAAACCACTCTCATGGATATAGCCAGGAATAGCAGGGAAAAATTGCTGGACTTGACCAAAAAGGTAACAAAAGATGTTTCTGTACACAGAAACAGAGCTAGCCTGGCCTCTCACTTAAAGACAGTGAGAGCCAGTTTGGTGTCGTGGTTAAGAGTGGTGGAGTCTAATCTGGAGAACCGGGCTTGATTCCCCACTCCTCCTCCACATGCAGCCAGCTGGATGACCTTGGGTCACTCACAGTTCTCTCAGAGCTGTTCTCTCAGGAACAGTTCTCTCAGAGCTCTCAGCCCCACCTACCTCACAGGGTGTCTGTTGTGGGGAGAGGAAGGGAAGGAGGCCCTGCGGGACGCAGGAGGGAGGGGGGGGGGGGGGGTATAAATCCAAACCTCCTCCTCCCCCACATCAGGAAAAGGCAGTCTAGAGACTGAGAACAGAATAGCTTTGGAGAGGGACAAGAAACAAAGTAGCAACAGAACCACATGGCCTTGTACAGATTCGAAGCTGCCTAACCCATTTCAATAGATTTTGATTTGTGCAGGCCCGGGTGCAGAAGCATCTGAGAATGGCAAAAAGATCCCGCTTCCCAGAAACAAGGATCTGGTCCAAAGATGGGGTGTACTGGCTGAGGGCTTAAAGGTATTTATATTTATGTAAAGGTAAAGGTTTCCCTTGCTCGAAAGCCAGTCGAATCCGACTCTAGGGTTGCAGTGCTCATCTCCGTTTCAAAGCCGAAGAGCCAGCGCTGTCCGAAGACGTTTCCGTGGTCATGTGGCCGGCATGACTAAACACCAAGGCGCACAGAACGCTGTTACCTTCCCACCAAAGTGGTACCTATTTATCTACTTGCAATTTCTTGCTTTCGAACTGCTAGGTTGGCAGGAGCTGGAACTAGAGACGGGAGCTCACTCCGTCATGCGGCACTCGGGTCTCGAACTGCTGAACTACCGACCTTCCACAGCCTGCAGTTCAGCGTCTTAACCACTTGAGCCACCGCAGCTCCTTTATATTTATGAAAAACCTGTAATCATGATTTTTAAATAGACTTTATGGTAAAAAGTAGCAAGAATGAATTAAACAATTCTTGGCCCCGGTCACACGGGCAGGAAACTGCGGGGGGGGAAGCGTGGCTGTTTGCCCTGGGGCAAACTAACACGCAGTAAAGCGATCATACCTCCTGTGGAGGTTCTGTGGAGGTACCGTGGAGCTTCTGTGGTTACGGAGAGGCGTCGATCACAACACATGCCTGCGCGCAACGAAGAAGCGCGTGGCGAACTAGTTTTCTTTTTTTGTGTTCACTACGAATGCGCATGCTCCGTTGGGTGCATGTGCGCAACCACGGGGACTTGGGGGAAAAAAAAACCTTTTTCACAAGGGGACATGGGCGGGTGCCGGATGCCACCGGAAACGCGATCAGACGCCCGCCCTTGCCCCGCAGTTTCCGGAAACTAGTACCTCCGAGGTACTAGTTTTTTGCTGCGCGGTTTCGGGAGGAAGCTTCGGTTGTGCCACAGAAGCGCTACACTCCCCAGATGTGCTGGTGAGATCGCACCCGGAAACTCCGCCTGTCTTCCGTATCTCTTGCATGGCTAATGTTGCGTGTGACCGCAGCCCTTATATATTTTAAGAAGACATTCTAAATATGGATAACCTTGTATGGTGTTTGAAGTTGTATGAGAATCCGTTAGCCGAGAATGTGCACCCTCATCGAGTGGGACCGCTGGGTATCGTTAGGAGATGGCTTAAAGATCCTATAAATATGGGAAGCTGAACGGATGGGAAGCTTCTTCTCAGAGGGGGCTCCTTGCTTGTGACCTGCTTACCTCGGGGCAAGAAGCATTTATGGACTCATGTAATTGCGCTGCTTGACTTATCTGTGTAACAATGATGGATGATATCACTTTCTGCAGACTTTGCCAATGTTAAGAATGCAAAAGAGTCATGCTATTAAAAAAGCTTAAAATGGAAGCAGAGAGTCTCTAACCATATTCACTTGTGTATTGTACCTGGAACTAACCTCAGACATTATCAAGGTGGACCTCTGGCCAGGAGTTAAGTGATCCGAGAGAGAAAAGCTAACCCCACACACCTCGGGGCTTCTTCACTACACAGCCTTATCCGAATCGGGCCTGACTGGAGTCATCCAGAATACCATTTTTATCCCACCTTATTTCCTCAGCCTAAAGTTGGCTAACTGTAATGCAACCAGGCTGCAAGACTCGAATTTTAACAGTCCAAATTAACAAAATTAAAACACAGATTAGAATACACTACAAATTTAAGAGAGCCAGCATAGTGTAGTGGTTAAGAACGGTGGACTCTAATCTGGGAGAGCCGGGTTTGATTCCCCACTCCTCCTCCACGTGAAGTCTGCTGGGTGACCTTCGGCCAGCCACCATTCTCTCAAAACTCTACCTACCTCACAAGGTGACTGTTGTGGGGTGGGGAAGGGAAGACGATTGGAAGCTGCTTCGAGACTCCTCAAGACAGTGAAAAGCAGGGTATGAAAACCAACTCTTCTTAAAAGCCCTCAAGATTTATAGCCCATTTTTGTGCTACCCAGAGCTCCAGGGATACCTCCAAGGGCAGCCCCACATAGAGCACATGGCAGCATTGTAAGCTTTGTAAGCCGCCCTGAGCCCGCTTGCGGGGAGGGAGGGGTAAAAATCTTCAAATAAATAAAATAAAATATAAATTACGGTCTAGAAGGTGGGGCCCGGTGACCGAATGGGCTGCCTGGCTGAGCAGGGATATGCACCACGGCCTCCATCGTCCAAGCCCAACATTCTAGCAGCTACACTATGGCAGCACTTCATACAGGAATATTTCATCTGTGCTCGTCTCGTCATGGAAGACTGAAAAGGTGCTTATCCTTTATCTTCCCAGCAACAAGGCTGACAGAAAATGGCATTCTACCCTCCCGAGGTCCCTCCCCTCCTCAAACCCCACCAACCCCATCTCCTTCCCCCCCAACAGACAACCTACCTTTATCTGCCACTCTGGCCCTCCGCCTCCCCAGCAGCCTCTGCCTAGGAGAACTACGGCCCAGTTTTGTGGTGTCAGCCACTGGGCAAGGCCCACTTGCATCTTAGGGAACCCTCAATGACTTGTGTGTGGGGGGGTGCCTCACTTTCCCCTGTATCCCCCTCCCCCTTTCCCTCCTCCTGGCAACCCCCAAAGTCTCCCCCCTTTCCCTGCCTCCTTCTCTCCTTCTCAGGCATTCACCAACCTACCTTTTGTCTGTCTACCATCTTCAGCTATATTTCTAATTTGCTGAGCACATTTATACCCCCCACCTTTCTCCACAGTGGGGACCAAAGCAGCTTACATTATCCTCCTTGCCTCTTTTTTATCTGCACAACAATCCTGTGAGGTAGGTTAGGCTGAAGGTCTGTGACTGGCCCCAAAACCACACAGTCAGCTTCCACAGCAAGACAGGGATTCAAACTGGGGTCTCCCAGACCCTCCTCTGAAGCTCTAACTGCTACACCCCATTGTCTTTCATAGGGTGGCTGCTGTTGAACAGGAGCAAGCAGCCAGGCCAAGTCGGGTAGTATCAAGTCACCCAGAGGCTGCCACCAGGCAATCCCAGAATTCCAACTGAATTGCAGACAACAGAGATCTGTCCCCCTTGGAGAAGATGACTGCTTTGGAGTGTGAACTATATTGCATTATATATGGCTGAAGCTTCTCCCCTTCCCAAACTCTACCACAAAATCTCCAGGAATTTCCCAACCTGGAGCTGGCAACCCTAGCAGGCTTGGCTCCAAGAACATTGACATTTATTTATTTTTATTTATAAGTTCAATTTATATTCTGCCCTTCCCTGAGTTCACACAACAACAACAAATTTATTCACAGCAAAAAGCCAGCACTCTAATACAACAAACTAACTCAAACTAAATTCATACAACCACAAGCATAAATGAAATACATAAAATGAATATCAAATAAAGCATGCATGTAAAACCTGTAAAGTCCTGTAACAAATTACATCTATTCGTCTTTCACCAGGAGCTTTCTAGTCCTTACAGCTAACCAGCCAAATTTGGCAAGTTTAGCTGTAACCTTGGGGCACCTACTTTCTTGGAGGTTCTTCAGCAATTGCATCTTCTGACTAGTTGAGGATAGAGTAGTTGTAGAGAGTGGGAGAATATCACGAAAGTGGCTATATGTCCTTCAGTCATATATAACATCACTACCTTATACAATGGTTCTAAAAGGGCTTGCTATTTGCATGAGTTATTAAGACCCTCCTGTCTAGCTATGTCCTGGATTCTCTGTCTCACTAACTCTCCAAGGAGTCCTCCCTCAAAGGCCAAAATAGGCCTGGAAATGCTCCTGCCCCCTCCTGCCTTTTACTGACAGAACCAAGTTCAGAATCCTGTGGTTGCCTAGCAACAGCCACAGAGGGAATTTGATCTGCTGTTTAAAGCTACAGGTGCTCCTTTTATCATTTTTGGGTTTTCTAAACCCCCCAATGTATTTTTTTCCAGATTTCACATTTTTCTGCAAACCTGGGGGCATTTTCAGGTTTATAGAAAGATCTGTCTTGCCCATTCACAGCTCTAGGGTAGGGCGGGATACTAATCCCAATAAATAAACAAATAAATTTAAGGATCCAAACATTTGGCTGACTTTGCTATTAGAATATAAGATGATGATTCAGCAACTATTGCATTTGAACATTCTGGACAAAATGACTTGTTACCACCAAAAATGGCAGCCACGTGTCACCTTTCCCCATACAACTCTGTATTGTGGCAGCACTGCATTCTAAACTTCCCTACCACTAGTCGCATTAAGTGTTGTAGAGTAAGGAGAGGGCAGAGCACTGTACTAAAGGAGGGCATTCCCAGGGAGTAAATGTGTCTAAAGCCTACAGAAAAGGGGCAAGAACTCTCCATGGGGATGTATTGGAGACAGCCCTGTAGTGAGCACAAGGTCTGCTGTCAAGTGCACCTATGCTCATTGCTCCCAAACTCCCTACTAAGTAATTAGGCACAGCTGGTGACATACGATTGTTTACAATTCCAAACCACTTCTCGCAGACACGAAAAATCATCACCTCGATGTCAGTGCTCAAGTAAGTCTCTCGAAACAAAATCGCTGCTTGTTCCCCCCCTGCCCCCTTCATTACGCTTATCTGTCAATTCGCATAAGAGGCGTCCCTCTTTGCGCTCCGCTTTCCGCTACGCTTTTAAAATATTCCATTTATTTTGAACTCATGTTCATTGTTGGTCATTTCTCTGACCTCGCTCACAGTAATCAATATTCTGCTCGATCTCCAGCGCTTGTCCCAGTCGAATCAGCTTGTGCCCAGGGGCCACACAGCAGCAGGACCATGAGGGCGGAGGGAAGCCTCAATTCTCCGGCATTTAGCCGTTGAAGAGGCTATCCCTCAAAAGCCCTATGGCCTGGAGCCTATCACAAAGGCTCTGTGTGAGTGCTACTTGAGGTAGCATCCCTCCATACCGCTGGTGTGCAAGTCGCTCCCCCGAAGTTCGGGGAGAACGACCGCCATCACTGATCCACAAACCGGAAGCTCAGAACATGCACTCTCCTGAGCACAGCAGAACCAAACAGAGGGGGAGGTGCCACTCCATCAGCCTGTGCAGCGCCAACAGGGACCATGTCCTCCGGGCCACATTCAGAGGGGGATACTCCGCTCCACCCAGCCTTCCACTGGGGGACACGACAGTGCTGGGTGACTGATCCTGCATCAGGAATGCTTACTAGCGCACAGTCTCATGCAGCCTTCAAAGTGTGGCTGAAAGGAGCAAAGAAGCCTATTTGGCCACACAATACTCACTCAAACAAAGTTTGTGTCCAGTAGCACCTTTAAGACCAACGAAGTTGAATTCTGGGTATAAGCTGTCACCTATGCTGCCATTGTACATGGGGGGGGGAGTCTGTAGAGTGAACATCTTTTCCTCCTGGAATTTTGGTTTCACTTTTCTCGCTTGGCCTTATCTTGCTGCCTGACCTTGATGCTTCCAGCTGTCGCCTCCCTGGGAACCTGTAGCCGTGCGCAAGGCTTGCACCTCTGATTGGGTTAACACCATCAGGGGGCCTCGCTTCAAATGCAGTATATCTTCCCCTCTCCCGCCTGTTGGGTTAGCCTTTACACAAAATGTATGCACAGATGTCCTGCCTCTACTGAACTCAATAAACTTGATCCTTTGGAAGGAACGTTGTCGAGACTGAGTTTGTGGGACTCTGACATAAGCTTTCGTGTGCACGCAAAGTGTGCATGTCCACAAAAGCTTATCCCTAGAATTCAACTTTGTTGGTCTTGAAGGTGCCACTGGATTCAAACTTTGTTCTGTTGCTTCAGACCAACACAGCGACCCACCTGAAGTCCTCACTTGGTAACTGATGGGACAGGAGGGGAGAAAATGGGTCAGGGAATCTACTCCCCAAGAAGGCAGATTTTGATAGTTGTTTCACAGATCAGAGGGGCCCTAAAGAGTAACATCATCTACCAAAAATGTGAGATGTTTTCCCTTTCTTTCTGTATGACACGGTAGGACCTGGACAAGGCTTCTCCATGCACCCAATTCCAAATATCCTCAGTCTATACTATGGTATCCCCGAATGAGGCCTGAAGTCATTTCAGACAAAAGAGAACAACCACACATGAACTACTGTGAAAACAAACTTACTTTGTTCACAAATGGCTCTGTCATTCATTTCTAGAAATGCTTGTGGGCTTCTTTGGGGGATGGGTGAGGAAAATATGCTAAGATATGGACTATGGTCTGAGAAGAGCAGAAAGAAGAAGCTGCCATGTTATTATTATGGAATTATGTTTTGGGATGTTAGTAAAACTGCTGCTGCTTGTGGACTGAAATATCAATTCATAGCAGCAATTTAAAGCAACAATTTAAAATCTTGAAGAAAAGTCAGAGTTGCTGTAATATAGTTTCCTGCAATGGCTAATTATTTGGTGAGGAATTTTAAAGCGTTACTAACAATAAGAATTAGGAAAGTGAATGGAAAAGTCTTGGATTGTACACAGCTGTTTTGCAGCTAACTAGCAGAAAAAGCAAATTGTTCAGGGTGTTTTGTGTCTATTCCATATTCGGTTCCCATAGATATGATCAGCAAGGAGTGGGGGTAGTGAACAGACAGGTAGAAAAGATCATTTACCATTTGGATTTCTTCAGGGGAAAGCTCATCTTCTCCTTTACCATCTGCCCAAAGGCCAAAATTAGCATGGTCTTCTATCACATTCTTATCTGTAAGGCGAAACGAACCAGTCTCAGCACAAAACCAAAACTTGCCAAAACTTTTTAGTCTCAGCCATAGCTGAAACAATTATAGCTTTACGTGCACTACCCGGCTCCAGCCCCACTCATGGCAATTCCAAAGCCCAGAGAGGCAAGGGTCTCCCGTGGAGGAGGTGCTCATGTCTTTGGGCTTCAGGCAAGATGTGTCAGCATAGCAAGAGGAAGCATGAGGGACTAGGCCCACATAAGCTGTTTGTGTACTACATGTACAAGTTGAAGAACATCAACAGGAACTTAAGGTTCTATTGTGGCATCTTCTAAAAGGTTAGTTCTTTGCATCAGTTGGATAATAATAGTCATAATCGGGGGTCATTTGGGCCGGAGTGCACCGGAGCACTGCTCCGGCAGCCCAAGAGCAGGCACAAATGGCGGTGGCAGCAAGCCCTGCCCCCAGCTCCCCACCCCCGTGCTCCTTCTCTCTAGAGTCACACCGCAGCAGTGGCGTGGTCTTTCCATGATATTCTATGGGGCCATAGAATATAATGGAAAGATTGCGCAGCTGCTGCTGTGCGACTCTAGAGAGAAGGGGGGGTTAAATTTTAAACCCGCTTCTCTCTTTGCTTTCCCCCCCCCCCAGGCCGGCTGGGGAAGAGAAGGGGAGGCTTTTGAACATGCCTCCCCCCCTTTTGCTTCCCCTTGTGACATCACATCCAAATACTAGCCAGGGCTGACCCTGCTTAGCTTCTGAGATCAGACAGGATCAGGCTAGCCTGGCCTATCCTGGTCAGGGCTGCATCACTTGGAAATGTATGCTGATGGAGGGCGTGACTCCCTGGATCCTGGTCCTAACAGAATGCAACAGTGTTTGTTTGTTTTTTGAAACTATGTGAACATCCCACCCATTCAAAGTAGAAAGAGCCTTCAGTCTTCTCATCTGCCTCAGGCTAATAAAATGGCTTACCCAGGGGACAGGCTTACCCTGGGGACGGGCCACAGAAGAGCATCTGCTCTGAATGCAGAAGATCCCAGGTTCAATCCCTGGCAGCATCTCCGGATGAACGGACCTGATAGTAGGTGATGCCAAAGACCTCTACTTGAGACCAGTGTTCCCTCTAAGCTGAGTTAGTGTGAGCTAGCTCACAGTTTTTCAGCCTCCAGCTCACACATTTTTGTCTTAGCTCAGGGAGGATGGGGCTCCAGAGCAAACTAATTTATGCAGTAGCCAAATCGCTGGCTCAAAACTTTAAGGCCAGTAGCTCACAAAGTAGGATTTCTGCTCACAAGACTCCACAGCTTAGAGGGAACATTGCTTGAGACCCTGGAGAGCCACTGCCAGTCAGAGAAGACTGACTTTTGACAGACTTTGTATAAGGCAAATTTTGAGTCCAGGGGAACCTTTAAGACCAACAAAGGTTTTTTCAAGGTATGAGCTTTCGTGTAGACCATGAAATGGAAATAGAAATAACAGTCATACATATAGAGGGTGGGCAGTAAATTAGCATACAGAATAATGAAGATGTTTTTAACAAATTAAAATAATAACAAGCTTAGTTTATATGGCTATCATCTGTTCGGGTTCAACTTGTGGGGGGAAACACAGCAAGGAAATAAATATATCGGAACTGGAGACTGGTGTCTCCTGCACTGTGGAGTGGGGAGAGTCTGTAATTAGGTTCCATCTGTCTCCTCTCAAGCATGGAGGCGACCGGACAGCATCATCTCCTTTGACGTGGGTCGACTGGCTGTGTAGAATTATTTTCCTTGTCCCCAGACCAGAGAAACACATTTCAATCTACCATTCCAAAATACATTAATACTTCATTACATTCTTAATTGTTCTTGTTACACATTATTCTTAGAGTTGGGGTGCGGTGTTATGTCAGAAAAACACATTCCAATATCCATTGCATCAGCCCTTCTTGGCAAGAATACATATGTCAGGACCAGTGTTCCCTCTAAGCTGTGGAGTCCTGTGAGCAAAAATTCCACTTTGTGAGCCACTGGCATTAAAGTTGTGAGCAGGTGATTTGGCTACTGCGTAAATTAGTTTGCCCTGGAGCCCTCCTTCCTGAGCGGAGACAAAAACGGGTGAGCCGGAGGCTAAAAAACTGTGAGCTAGCCCACACTAACTCAGCTTAGAGGGAACACTGGTCAGGACTGCCCCCCCCCCCAGCCAGATCTCTTTGTATAAGTCAGCGTCACGTGTTCCTGCTGGCAGGGGCTGATCCTCTCCCCTCAGCCCTTCTTTAAAGGAGGCTGAGATGCCAGGAGTCCTGTTTAATGCTAAGGAAATTCACACGTTTGTAGGAATGAGGTCCAAAATAGCCCCAGCTTTAAAGCTTCTTGAAATATCTTAATTTTAAAAAACGATTTGACTACAGAACATTGATGTACAAAAGCCCAAGCTGTTCTCCTTCACTCTCCTTTCTGGACGTGGCCTAAAGTTGCACACATTCAGGATCCCAATGTGTTTGAAATACCCTCTGCCTGCTGGGATAGATTCTTAGGAGTCCCCATGATCTGTCTGGACGAGTGGCTGTTTGCCCTTGGGGGTGTCAGCAAGCTGCCAATATGTATTTTCCATGCATATGAGATGTGACTACCCCCCCCCTCTGCCTTTCCCTAGCTGGCTTGGACTCTTGTGCGTATGTCCCCCCTCACCCTCAAGCGCTCATCATCAACTACATTCCTTTCCATGTACGCTAGCGTCGCTTTGAAGGAACCTTATCAGCCAAGGCTACAGGTGGTTCGCATTTGGAGACTTTTTGCTTAGTCTATAATGAACAGTAGTGTGAGAATAGAAGAATTGTTTAATCAGCTATAACCGTTGCTTTCTCAAGGTTTGAGAGCGAGATGAGCCCTCAAGGCGGGCGCGGGAACCATATCTATTGGCCCATGTTATTTTGAACTTGCTTTATTATACCTGTCTCAAGCCCTTTGTGTTATTCTGAACAGAACCTCTGTTCTAAGTACTTCATGGCTTCAATAAAATAAAACCTTCCTGCAAGAGTGTATTTCATTGTTTGCTGTGAGTCTGACAGGGGGCTGCATTCTCCCAGAGGTCCGCGACTCAACAGGTTGCCCCCTTTTGCTCTGTTCAAGTGTTGGATCCTGCCCTTAGCTGTGGAGATTCCCCCCCCCCCCAAGATCCTATGGTTCTGTTTGTATCGCTTCATTTGTCCTTGCTTATCCTCTTGCTGGTGAAAGTGTTTTCAATTAGACAGGCCCTGTTGCTGCCTACGGCAGAGGGTGGCTTCTCTTGGGAAACTGTTCAGAGCCTTTCTGTTGGAAAACAGTTCTGGAGGAGGCGTGACACGGAAGAGAGCGCCTCCCAACTGAGACCACTCTTCACTTCCTGACCCCAGCCGAGGAAGAAGGGGAATGAGGAGTCCCTTTCCGAGGCAGAGGGGCTGGTTTGCAGTGCAACCCTGAGCAGAGTCAACACCCTTCTAAGCCCAGGGACTTTAACGGATTTAGAAGTGCAAGTTTCTGTTTGGGATGACACTGCTGGAAAGGCACCCCCCCACACACATGCAAGCCTGCCCTGCCCCTCTGAGTCTTGAGCAAGGCTCGTAGCAGAAGGAAGAAGTTTGGGCAGTCCTTAATTCATCGGGCTGCCAGACATCAGGAACGACTCGGCAGCCCCGTGACAGACACAAGACTGGGAACGGTCTCTTCTGGCCCGGGACAGACCCTGGTCATGGCGATGATCACTCAGAAGCAGACAGTCTCTCTGCTCCAAAGGCAGGACAACCCCTGGCCAGCTGAGCCGTGGAGGGCTGCACTGCCAAGGAGCCCAAAAAGTAAATGGCAAAATAATCACAGACTGTGCAGTTTTAACTGGGGATACGTTCACATCTGTCTAAATTATACTGACACCTGCTGGTAGAAAAAGCCAATCTGTTTTTAATGTTAGATATACAAGATTGCACGCTCTCAAAAAAAAAGGGGGGGGGGGAGACAATTGGCTTACAGAACTAATAATAAAGAAACGGTGAGCATCCCATTTATTCTCCCCCAGGAACCAATTATTTTGTTGCTAATGAGATGCAGTGCTTCTATCTGGAGCTGTCATCGTTAGGCAAATGCGACCGGGACAACCGTGGAGGGAGGAGAGAGGGAGGGCCGGGGGGGGGGGAGCTCCTGCGGCTCCTTGACTCCCCACACAGCTCCTGGGTGCTGCTGGGCTTGTGGGTACCAGACCTGGTTCTGGTTTGCAGAGAGGCACCGGTTTTGTTTCTAGTTGTTCCTCGAAGGCCTAGAACAGCTTCTTTCCCCCTCACAGGTCTGATTCAGAAAGAAGGCCGCATCCGCAGGGGCTCCCGGGGAGAGGCGACGCCTCTAGGCACACCAGACTCCCTCCCGGCCCATGAGGTCTCTTGGAGGAGGCTGCCTAGAGCCTGTTCCCAGGCAACCCTGTCTCCGGGGGCAGCACCGGATTCGCTGACCGGAGCTGACTGCGCCTATGTGGGAAGGCGGGGAGTCCTCGGACTGCTGAATCGGCCCTCTGCTCCTGCTCAGCCTGGTTCCTTGGGGGAAGCAGAACTGACCCCTCTCCTAAGCACGTGGGCCCTGGCCTGGATGGCCCAGGCCAGCCCGATCTTGTCGCATCTCAGAAGCTAAGCAGGGGCAGCCCTGGTTAGTGTCTGGAGGAGAAGTCCAGGGTCGCTGAGCGGAGGCAGGCCATGGCAAACCACCTCTGAACGCCTCTTGCCTTGGGAACCCCACCAGGGGCCGCCATGCGTCTGCTGCCTCTTGGTGGCAGAAAAAGAAAAGTGTGTGGCCTCTACAGAGGCCGCCCCCTAAAAGCCGAGCAGCGGCGAGGGGAGAAAGGGGCTAGCAGAGGACGGGCTTTTCAGAGAGAGAGAGAGAGTAGAAAACGGAGATCCTTCGCCAGCACTTGTAGGGGGACCAGGGAAGAAAATGAGAGCAAAACTCCAGCCAAGCAGGAAAAACTAACCGGAGTTGAAGTTTTGCGTTATGAGGGATTTGTGCTTCTGACCCTGCTGCAGGCAGATGCGGCACTGAAGGGGCCTCAAACGTACAACATTCCTGGACTGGAGGCCAGGGCACCCAAGGGTCCCCCCCGTGTCCCCAGCTGGACCAGTGCGCCTTCCCCTAGTTGTGTGCACCCTGCGTGTCGTGCTCTGTACCTTCCCCCTTCTTCTGCAGTGGCTTGGCAAATCCCCCCAGTTCGGGACCCACATTTTGAGCAACGTGGCAAGCGCCTGGCTGATAAACTTCAAACCGGGCTCTCAACCTCAGCCGCATTTGGACAACACACAGTACGGGCACAGCCCGGGATGAAGTCTTTTGGGGATCTCTGTTTCCGAAGTCAGAGGCAGCAGACTACTGACTGAGAAGGCGGATGCTCCGCAGGGGAAACAACGGAGGAGTGTAGTGCTGGAGTATAAGCAAAGCGTCACCTTTGTTTTCTTCGCACAGGAGTCGGCCCTCTTGCTCCGCAGAGGCTGGCTGGGCAGTGCTTTCAGGAGAAGGGGTCACGCTGACTTTCTTGCTTTGCTCAGGCTCAAGCCTGGATCTGAAGAAACAAAGCCACACACACAGACACAAAAGTCAGGTCTCAAGAACAAAAAACGTCCTGAAGATCATTTGCAGGTCAGCTGCGGTTTTTCTCAATCGAAACTGTCCAGAAAGTTCCTTGGGGCCCCTGGGCACTTCAGCCTCCGCATTGGGGGTCCCCAACCGTTTTGAGCCTGGGGAGGGCACATCTGGAATTCCAAGACAGTGTGGTGGGCGGAGCCACAGACCCCGGTCCCACAGGCCGGATATTGCGGGGGGGAGGCGTGGCTGTTTGCCCCGGGGCTAAATAACGCACGGTTGCGCGATCAGACCTCCCATGGAGGTTCAGTGGAGGTCCCGTGGGTAGGAGGAGGTGCCGATCATAGGACAATCCTGCCGCGCGGCAAAGAAGCGGCGCGGTGCGGCAAACGGGTTTGGGGTTTTTTGTACACCAAAGTATGCGCATGCTCCGTTGGGTGCTTGTGCGCATCCATAGAGACTTGGGGGGAAAAAAACCTTTTTGCAAGGGGACATGGGCGGGGGCCGGATGCCACCGGAAACACGATCAGACGCCCGCCCTTGCCCTGCAGTTACCGGAAACTAGTACCTCAGAGGAACTAGTTTTTTACCCCACATCTTCGGCAGGAAGCCTCGGGTGAGCCATGGGAGCTCTACGCTTCCTAGATGTGGCGGTGAGATCGCTCCCGGAAAATCTGCCTATCTTCTGGCTCTCTAGCGTGGCTAATGTTCCGTGTGACCGCAGCCACTGAATGGCTGCTGCAGCTTACCATCAGTCACGTAGTGACGTTCCTTTCTGCTGTGGTGTCAGCTGCTGCCAAACAATGTTTGTAAAAAGCTTCGCAGTCAATCACAACCCCCTTGGCCAGTCAGAAGCCTTGCTGGGCAAAAGCCCCACCCGCTTCCTAAAAACACTTGGCGGGTGCCACGAAAGGGACCCAGGCCGACACAAGCTCTGGGATTCAGAGGGTTCTGGTCAAACCCAAACGCCCTCCATTTCTCCTTTCCCCACAGGCAGAAGAAGAAGCATCTTCAAATGCCTCAAAGACACTCAGGTGGGATGAATGATGTCAGTCCACAAAACGTGCACACAGAACGTGCCCTGGCCCCCTGGAAGGTTCCTGGACAAGGGCGATGGGCCCTGGGCTTTAATGGCAAAACTCCAAAATACCGTGGCTGCTTTAGGGGCTGCACAGCTTTATTCTCACCTTTCTCAGTTCCCCCTTACATGGGGAGGAGTCTCAGCACGGTGGGAGGGGGCATGCTTTGCATGCAGAAGGTCCCAGGTTCAGGCCCCACCACCTTCAGTCAAAGAAACTCAGGTTGCTGCTGCCAGGAAGGCCTTCCCCACCTGAGCCCCTGGAAAGCTGCTGGCGGTCACAGGACAGACTGCAGAGTCCAGGATAAGGCAGCTTTGTTGTAAGTTAATCTCCAGTAGGAAGATCAGTATGATCTACCTGACAGCTAACTGACAGCTACCTGTCAGCAGGTGGTGTGATAAGCCTGGTTCTGACCGGTTATGGCTGGCACTGGACAGTGTGCAGTCACCATGACTCAGCTTGTAGCTGATTGGTGGAACTTTGTATATAAGTCTTGTATACCAGACATGTACATCTCTTCTGATGGAACCGAGTGTCTGGCGAAGCAGTTTGTCTGTATATATTGTGAATAAAACCCTTGTACATAGTGTACCACTGGACTGTTGCAGTGTGGTTACTATAAGGGACTTCACAGCAGCAAAGACTGCAGCAAGAGCTGGTAAGGCTGAGAGGCTGGAAAGGCCTTAAGGTTGCTGACTTGCCCAAAAGGCTGGTGTCTTGGACCGCTACATTCTCGCTCCCGCAACAAGCTTCACGTCCAGGTAACAAAACGGTGAATTGTGAATGGTGATCTGTGGCCACTGTGGATTGCAGTGACTCACAAAAGTTCCTCCCCTGCCACAAATTGTGTTCATCTTGAAGGTGCCACTGGACTCTCGCTCTTTTCTGCTGCTACAGACAGACTGACACGGGCACCCATCTTGATCTACCTGAAGAAGTGAGCAGTGACTCACGAAAGCTCCTCCCCTGCCACAAACTGTGTTCGTCTTGGAGGTGCTTCTGGACCCCTCCTCTTTTCTGCTGCTACAGAGAGATTAACCCAGCCATCCATCTTGATCCACCACTTGATCTTGTCACTCGTCTTGCACTGATGAGGCAAGGGACCCCAAACATCTGGGTGGGCATAATTACATACCAGACGGCAGGAGAAACAAGCTGACCTTTTTCACAGGCAAAAGCCATGAAAGAGATAAAATGGACAACAAAACACCGTAACCACACAGCTCTCAGAGGCTGACACGAGCCAGCTCCATAAGACAGTTAAAAAAAAAAACCTTTCAAAACTGTCAGACAAAACCCAAGGAAAAGCTTTTGTTAGGAACAAACCGAGTACCAAAATCAAAAACAGGGTGCGGGCACTCAAGTTCTCCAGAGCTCTTAATCAGACGGGATATTAAAAAACAAAAGAAAAAAGACCCACAACCTTCAGACCTTTCGGCTCCCCCACCCCGTGAAGAACCCCGGGTCAGCCTGAGTAGATGGAATGGTGCTTTGTGGAACAGGCATTACGTTGTACTTTGGTCCAGAAGAACGGGCGACATCATTTGCCACGTGGAAATATGAACGCCTGCTCTTTTGTGCTATTTTATTCTACCCTAGCAAAAGGTATTTTGTGGCTTTTGCTTTTGGATTTTGCCTTGGACCAGTGACCTTGGTCTTGGTCTTTCTATGATGCAACGGCCAATGACACCTACAATCCCTGGTAAACAGGCTTAAAACTAGATGCACCATTTTCTTTCCTGAAATGGCAGGAAGACAATTCATTTGCACATCAAATTAATACATCAGAAACAAAAATCAAAGTATCCCAAATGAATATGACTTACAATCTTTTCTTATCAACAACTCGTTTGACCCGGATAGCCCTTTGTTCGGAATACAGCTTACACACCCCTGATCAAACAAGGAAAAAACCTAGTCAGTAAGAGTATTCATATCACAAGGAAACAGAACAATTGCCTACATAAAACCGCAAACCTTTGATCTGGAGTCTACTTAATCCAGCCCTCCAACACTGGCCTCCACCGGGAAACTCACCAGCCAGGGGGGGGGGGGGGGGGGGGGGGACGGGACGGACACACGGTCAGAGGAACAAGCAGCCTTTGGCCAGAGGGGTTGGGTGCCCTTCCCTCATGGCCCTGGGTCTTCAGCGATCCTACCCAACTGACTCCTGAGAGGTCCTGTTTCAGGATTTCTAATATTACCACCAGCACTCTCTAGATAGTTTCTGTATTTTTCCCCCCCCCCCCCCAGTTAAGAAACAGACGCTCCTTCCTGACTAAGCGGTCTGTACAGATACCTCCTTTCTCTTTTAGGATTTCACACATTATGAAAAATAATAGCCTTTGGTCTGACAAACAGGGTAGGCTCCCACCAATCTGCTCTGCTGTTAGCAGAGGCATTTCCCCTCAGGAGGTGGCTTTTCCTCGTTCTATCAGAGGAATGCAGCCCTATCAGCATAACAGGTCCCCGGGATCCAGCCCACAGTTTCATGCCACCTTCAGTCCTTACTGGAGACTTAGGACCCCCCCCCCCCCAATGTTAACAGTGTTCCCCTAGGTTTGTGGTGCACCCGGTATCCATATTATCTTGCACCCGGTATCAAGAAGCTTAACAGACCTCTCTTGCTTTCAAGGCTGATAGCGTTGGCACAAAGATCTGGTAGGGCAATGATCCAACAACTCACACACGCATTAATGCCCCAGACTGGCACACGCAACTGGTGGGCACTTCTGAAAATACTACACTAGAACAATCTCTTCTCAGGATGAGCTTGGAACTATACAGTAATCGCGGCAAGATGCTAGCAGCACCCTCCTCCGCAGTCACTCCAGCCTAAGCACAGGACTACCCCGTAAAAACATGAAGCTCCTATCATTTCAAATCAAAGGAGAAACAAACAATACTTTTTAAGTAGTCTTCAATGAAATCCAAGACTGCTTCTCGGTGCTGCTTCACTTGTGGGGAATGGATGTCCTTGTGGGCTGAAATTAAAGGACAGGGAGTCAGACGGTGCACTTCTCCAGAAGCTCCTTAAGAGGAGGACCGTGGGCGTGAAGCTGCCTCGGCCTTGAACAGACTTGCCTTCTGTCCGGAGTTGCTGGATGGCCTCAGCGCACGTTCGCATGAATATCTGGGCATCTTGATCAATCTGGTCTCGCTCTGTGTCCGTCATCCGGACATATTCAGACATGACATGGCTGCAGGGAAAAAGCCAACATGTTATTTATCTATTTTCTGTGAGAGAAGGAGAAGAACCAAAAATAACAAGACGAACAAGAAGAAGAAGAGTTGGATTTATGCCCCGCCTTTCACCCTGAGTCTCAGAGCGGCTAACAAACTCCTTTCCCTCCCCCTCCCCACAACAGACACCCTCCTGTGAGGTAGGCGGGGCTGAGGGAGCTCTTTCCAGGAGCTGGTCACCCAGCTGGCTGCATGTGGAGGAGGTGTGGGGAATCAAACCCGGTTCTCCAGATCAGAGTCTGCCGCTCTTAACCATGGCACCAAACTGGCTGACTCTGTACCCTTCGTCCACTTAGACTTCCTCCACTTCTTTAAGGAAAATGGCTGGCCTCTGCTGGCACCACTTCACCCCATCACTCACACCTCCTTCCCATCTGTCACTAATGAGGACTTTTATTTCTTAAGGAGAAAGAGATACCTCCTAAAGTAGGAGGAGCCAGTCTTTTTTCCCAGCCCTCAAGCCCCCCCAGAATGAGGCATGTAAAAGGAGGCCTGCTGGAGCAGACCAGGGATCCATCTCATTCACCCTCCTGTCTTGGAATGTGGAGGTGGGCAGAGAGGCCGCTGGCAGGTCTGGTTTCTCCCACGGGGTGGACAGAGCAGCCCAGCTCCCTGCGGACCCCTTTCTGAGAGCTCCATTATGCATTCCGGGGGAGGCAGAGTTCTGGAAGGCATCTTCAACCTATTTTCTTTCCCATGCTGAAAATGCTCTGCTGGGTAGCAGACCAGCACGCCCAGGAGGGAAGGAGGCTCCGCATCGCCCACACCCTGATTTGCTGGCTTGCTGCCTGCCAGGAGCTCTCTGTGTGTGTGTGTGTGGGGGGAATTCCAATGAGACTTCCTGACTGCCCTTTGAGATCTCTGCTGCCCCCCCGCCCCCCCACATAAGGTGTAGAAACAGCTCTAAGGGCTGCTACCACCACACAGACTCCACAGCCATGTTTAGGACAACACACGGCTGCTTACTGTCATGGCGGTAATGCTGTACCCTACAGAACTGGGGTCCCCAAACTTTTGGAGCCTGTGGGCATCTCTGGAATACCGGCACAGTGTGGTGGGTGCAGCCACAAAATGGCGGCCAAAAATGGCTGCCTCGGGAGGTGGAGCCAGACACAAAATGACTGCTGCTGCTGAGATTTATCTTCAGTCATGTGGTGAAGATTCTTGCGCTGCGGTGGCAGCTGCTGTCAAAGTGGCATGTTGAAAAATCTGGACAGCCAATCAAATCTCCAGTGGCCAATCAGAAGCCTTGCTGGGCAAAAGCCCCATCTGGCCCCACCCACTTTCTAGAAACACTCAGTGGTGGCCAGGAAAGCTGCCAGTGTGTGCCATGGCACAGCGGTGCCCACGGGCACCATGTTGGGGACCCCCCACTATAGAACATCCTTCTGCCCTGGAAGCACATGGAAGAAAGTGCTGCCTTCTGGTGGGGCAGAAGGGGACCCCCTTCCTTACAAAGCACCCCGCAGCTGCCTCCAGACGGGCCCTGCACGCCTGCCCAGCAGCAGCCTGCCAGATCATCTGGCTCAGGACGCAGGATGAGCGCTCCAGCACAGCAATCAATGTGCAGGCGGTAAGGGGGTTGCCAGCAGAGTGAGAGAAGATGATGGCTCTGCTGATGTGCTTGCCCTCCCCCACGGGATCTGCATCGCCAGGAAACCTCCGAGGTGCTGGCCCCGTAGCCAGGCAGGGCTCCTCTTGCTTCCAGCAGGTCTGCCCAAGTACATCCCTGGTCCTTCCCCCACTCCCACCTCCCAGCTTGCCTCTGGGACCAGGGAGCACCCAGGGAAGTTGACGGCCAACAGAGGCAGGACAGACAAAGGAAAGACTTCTTAACTCAGTGAGTGAATACGCTCTGCAACTCACTGCCAGTGGGCAGAGTGATGGCCATCGGCACAGATGGCTTCAAGAGGGAGGGGACCAGATGGATTCATGGAAGAGAGGTCCATTGATGGCTAGGAGCTGCGTGAGTAAAGAGGACCCCCATACTCAGAGGTAGGAGGTGGCCTCAGAGGAAGGCCTTGGCCTACACGCCCTGCTTGCTGACCCTCCAGGGCAACTGGCTGGCTGCTGTGTGAAGCTGGATGCTGGACCTGACGGGCCTCTTTCCCCACCCAGCAGGCCACGTTCTTGCTCTCCTCCACCCAGGCATCCTCTTCCCATCACACACTGGCTGCACTACCCGAGTGTGGCTGCAGAGGGCAACAATCGTTGAGGTCCACTTATCCGCAGAACAAGGGGCCAGGCCCTTCGGCATTTCAGTCGCTCGGAACACTGAGATGGGCCGTCTCTTTGTTGCACAAGAGGCACAGAGAGAAGGATGTCAGTAAACTGCCATTTGCACTCTGGGTATGTTCTGTGTAACCTGCCTGCTGTATGATTTGGGGGGGGGGGACTAGCCTGCATTTCTCTGTTCATATCCTCCCAGTGCCGCTTTGACGTTTGTCTTGGCTTTGGAATATTGTGCTGCCTTTAAGAACATAAGAGACGGCAATGTTGGATCAGGCCAGAGGCCCATCCAGGCCAACACTCTGTGTCACACAGTGGCCAGAAATACCAGGTGCCATCAGGAGGTCCACCAGTGGGGCCAGGACACTAGAAGCCCTCCTACTGTTGCCCCCCCCCCCAAGCACCAAGAATACAGAGCATCACTTGCCCCAGAGTCCCTATCTATACCTTGTGGCTAATAGCCACTGATGGACCTCTGCTCCATATGCTTATCTAATTCCCTTTTGAAGCCTTCCATGCTTGTAGCCGCCACCACTTCCTGTGGCAGTGAATTCCATGTGTTAATCACTCTTTGGGTGAAGAAGGACTTCCTTTTATCCATTCTAACCCAGCCACTCAGCAATGTCATTGAGTGCTCACGAGAAAGAGAGAAAAGTACCTCTTTC